GTGACTACCCTTTGGTTTCAGGCCAGCATGAAGTCTTACATTTGCACACTTTGTACACTTGCAGAAAGTCTGAGATTTTTTAGGATTAGAGTCAGGTGTATAATTACCAGTTATACCAAGTAGGTGCTAATGATCATCAATTTCATATATTGGTTGAAACACAGCCATTGAATGAAACAGAAACAGCTGTGTGGGAGGCTTAAAACTGGGTGAGGAACAGCCAAACTTTGCTACTAAGGTGGGGTTGGAAAACAGTTTTAAGTCACAGGTAATACACCATTGCAAGACTGAGCACAGCAGCAGGACACAAGGTAGTAATACTGAATCTGCAAGGTCTCTCCCAGGCAAAGGCTTCAGAGCAGACAGGGGTTTCAAGATGTTCTGTTCAGGCTCTTTTGAAGAAATGGGCAATGTTGAGAAACTTAGATGCAGTGGTCGGCCATGGAAACTTAATGCAGCAGATGAAAGACATATCACAGTTTCTTCCCTTCAACATCAGCAGAAGTCCAGCAATGCCATTAGTCTGTCAGGGATTACATGAAGAGACAGAAGGATTTGAGGCAACCTACAGTGGATATAAAAAGTCTACACACCCCTGTTAAAATGTCAGGTTTCTGTGATGTAAAAAAATGTGACAAAGATCAATAATTTCAGAACCTTTTCCACCTTTAATGTAACCTATAAACTATACAACTTAGTTGAACAACAAACTGAAATCTTTTAGGTGGAGGGAAGTAAAAATAAAAAATAAAATAATATGGTTGCATAAGTGTGCACACCCTTAAACTAATATTTAAAGCACCTTTTGATTTTATTACAGCACTCTGTCTTTTTGGGTATGATTCTATCAGCATAGCACATCTTGACTTGGCAATATTTGCCCCCACTTTTCCTTGCAAAAACACTCCAAATCTGTCAGATTGCGAGGGCATCTCCTGTGCACAGCCCTCTTCAGATCACCTCTCAGATTTTCAGTTGGATTCAGGTCTGGCCTCTGGCTGGGCCATTTCAAATCTTTATTCTTCTTCTGGTGAAGCCATTCCTTTGTTGATTTGGATGTATGCTTTGGGTTGTTGTCATGCTGAAAGATGAAGTTCCTCTTCATCTTCAGCTTTCTAGCAGAAGCCTGAATGTTTTGTGCCAATATTGACTGCTATTTGGAACTGTTCATTGTGATTTTTTTTTTAGCAAAGCCATGTAGCAAAATACATTTTGGCCTACATTTATGACGAAATTAGATTTTTTTAAATTTTCTACTGGACATGTTTTATAGCACAAAAAATAAAAACCACACAGGCTATCAAATACCACCCAAAGAAAGCTCAATTTGTGGGGAAATAAGGACGTAAATTTAATTTGCGTGCAGCATTGCATGACCGCGCAATTGTCAGTTAAAGTAACGTAGCAGGCAAGAAGCACTTTAAATGATAGCAGGCGTGTACTGACTCCTATTTACCATAATTTTTAATGTGATTGCTTAATTCTGAACACAGCTACATGCATACCTTGGTTTATGAATTTAATTAGTTGTGCGGGACTTTTCATATAGCAAACAATTCATAAACCGAAACGCCGTTTTTCCAAAGGAATGCATTGAAAACCAATTAATCCGTTCCGGAGGTCAGAAAAAAGTAAACGCTACTAAAATACTGCATGAGTTATTTTATCAAGTCATGCGGTATTTTAGTAGCGACAACCATGTGTTAATGTTTCAGCTGTCATCAAGGTTCCTCACTGACAGCTGAATGTAAAAGAATTGCTAGCAATTAAAAAAATAAATCAATGGCGTGAGATTCCCCCCTCCCATCCATACCAAGCCCTTCAGCCCCCAGATCCCGCCCCCCCCCCCCCCCCATGTGAATGAGCATGGGGTACATGATCCCGTTACTCATTCACAAAAGACAAAAAGTGTAGTGTGAAAAAAGACAGGACACGGTCTTTGACAAGTCCTTTATTAAAAGAAAAAAATAAAAGAATTTACCCCGCAGTAGATTCAGCGTCAATCACTATGTCCGCCACCCCCAACCCGAAAAAAGAATTTAAAAAAAAAAAAAAAGGCTCCATTTCCGACACACACCGTAGCTCAGAGATTCAGCTGTCACTTTCCCCCAGCTAAAAGAAAGAAAGTTTCCTTTTAATTTATTTCCCCAAGTTAAAAGTAACAATGTTTCCTTTTAGTTTCTTAAAAGAAACAAAGTTTCCTTTAACTCTGGGGAAAGTGACAGCTAATTCTGTGAGCTATAGTGAAGAAAAAAAAAAAAGCCGGCAACTGCATTAAAAATCGGCACCGACATATGCTTCGTATTGTGAAAATTTTTTTTTAAAAATTTGTAAACCGAGGCATTAATTTCAATGGATTTTCATTCGCAAACCGAAAATTACATTAACCGAGGCACACCTGTACATCCCCAGTTATAAGAGGGTGTGCACACTATGCAACCTCATTATTTTAGTTTATTACGTTTACTTCCCCCCCTAAACAATTTCAGTTTGTTTTTTAACTGAGTTGTACAGTTTATAGGTCACATTAAAGGTGGAAAAAGTTCTGAAAATATTTATCTTTGTATAATTTTTTTACATCATAGAAACCTGACATTTTAACCAGGGTGTGTAGACTGTTTATATCCACTGTACATCCACAGAAGAACTGTGGTTAGTTCTCCAAGATGCATAAAACAACCTACCTGCCGAGTTCCTTCAAAAACTGTGTGCAAGTGTACCTAGAAGAATAGAAGAATTAATGCTGTTTTGAAGGCAAAGGGTGGTCACATCAAATATTAATTTGATTTGAATTTCTCTTTTTTCATTTTGTTAACTGATAAAAATAAACTGTTAACAGTTCTATTTCTGAAAGCATTCTTAAGTGGAGCTTGCAGAGGACCAAGCCACATGTAAGGTTAAAGGCTTCCTGCGCACGTTTATTGGTCAGCATGTATAGAAAAAAAAAAAAACAAATTGGTTTCCCATGCAGGGGGTAAAATTCACAGTCCAAAACAAAGATTCAGCAAACATCTGTTAAGCCTCCTGTCTATTGTTGACTAGGTAACTGTATTTGTGAACACACCCTAATCATTGTAGGAGTATTTACATGTACACAGCTAGAGCTGAGAGTTACTACACAAAAGAAATAGTTCCATCTGCAACATATATTTATTGATAGTTATATAATGTATACAATTATACGCTAAGCAGTATTTACAACACAATGTACAGTTTAAGTCTCTTGACTTATACAATATTTACAATTTATCCACAAAACCATGTTTAAAATACAATGTACAATACCAGTATGAAGTTATGCAGGCCATAGATGGGTCGAAAATCGGCCGATTTTTCGGCCGAAAATAAAATCGGCCGATTTTCGGATCGTTAGTGGGCTATTTGTTCGGCCGTTTTTCGGTATTTTGGCAGATTTTTTGTATCGGTAAAATTGGAAAAAAAAATCGGGCGATTTTGCCAATCGGCCGATTTTCGCGGCAATGATGGGCAAATCAGCCGATTTTTTACCGATAAAAAATCTGCGCATGAGCAGTGACCTGCAAGAGGAAGACAAAAAGAAGAAGAAGAGGATGATGAAGAAGAAGAGGATGATGATGAAGAAGAGGATGATGATGACAAAGAAGAAGAGGATGATGATGAATAAGAAGAAGAGGATGATGATGACGATGAAGAAGAAGAAGAGGATGATGATGAAGAAGAGGAGGATGATGAAGAAGAAGAGGATGATGAAGAAGAAGAGGATGATGATGATGAAGAAGAAGAGGATGATGAAGAAGAAGAGGATGATGAAGAAGAAGAAGGATGAAAAATAAGAGGAATTCCAGTATGGCAAAAAGTGTCCCTGCAGAGAGCTCCGCTATTTCTTTGACAGTTCCTTGACATTTACAGCGGTTGCAACATTGTATCTATTTGTTTCCGAATAAAAACATCTGTATCCTAAATGGATACAAATAGATACATTGTTGCAACCACTATAAATGTCAAAGAACTGTCAAAGAAATAGCAGAGCTCTCTGCAGGGACACTTTTTGCCAGCTGTAGACGGGATGAAAATCAGCCGATTTTTTTTTACCATTGCTGGTAACGTCGCTTGAACGACCGATTTTTCATTTTTTAAAAGAAAAATTGGCCGTTTTTTCTCCCCGTCTATGGTTTGCATTAGTTTTACCTCTCAACTTCAGGTTTAGTTATCCTGCCTGCTGTGTGTCTCATCACCAAGAGACCTCCAGCTGGGTGACCAGGCCTTATATCCCCCCCCCCCCTCCTGTCTGTACTGTGGCTAATATAATGCTCACAAATTGGACACTGTACCTAGCCAATGTATATTGGGCACGGCCTGCTTGGAAGTTCACAGAAGGCTGCTGTTTACCACTCATGTGAGATATGCTAAGGGAACAACAAAAGGCCAGAACTTGTAATACAAGTATGAAGTTAGAAAGTTTTGATGCTGCAAAACACTCAATGGTTTAAATACTGTATATTTCCATCTAACTAAAATATACTTGTAATTCTAACATTATTTACATCCATTAATGGAGATTTCACATAAACTCAATATATAACACTATTAAATAGACCTCGCTGGGTTTGCTTCAGTCCTGTAAAAATGTTACCTCACAGCCTGATTGTCTCCTTTCTCTGCTCCAACACTGATTACCCCAGGGAAGACAAATTATACCCCAGGTGGGAAGCAATGTGTGGCCAGTGCTTAACCCCTTATGTCCTGCTACAAACCTCCCACTGCCACCCATTACCTTATGAACCTTAAAATTCTATGTGGCAGATACACTCCATCCACAACTGACAGGAGCTGTTTGTCACAATGTGTGTGTATATACATATATGTATGAACAGTATATGAGGAGCCATTCTAGACTTATCAATGCCATTAAAGCAGTCAAGCCACTTTATGCAGAATGCATAATTTTGGAGGTTATTAAGATGGAACAAACTTAATTTTGCATAAGAATAACTCAACTTCATTGCATTTTATTTTGGCAGTGTGGAAATATGGCGAGAGAAGGATTACGTACTCTAGTAGTTGCCAAAAAATCATTATCAGAAGAACAATATCAAGATTTTGAGGTATGAAGAAGACATTTTACTCTCTCAGTTCCATGCATTGGCCAGTTAAATATTGTAGTGAATCATAATCATGGCGAATATGTATTTTGTTGAAACTATACACTACATGTATAAAGTACTGAAGTGCTTAGGGACTGATTTGTAAACCAAGTGTATAATCCAAACTAACACGTTCCTGTGTTAAAAATGGCTGTGTGTTTAAGTGGGTGCTGCAGTGACCGTCGGCTGGAACCAAACAAAACCAGCAAGGAAAAAATGTCACCAGCACACCGAGGACCACCAATATGGGTCCAAAGGTTTTAATAAACGATCACATAGTTACAGCAAGGCAACGTTTTGGAGTCTCGCAGGACCCCTTCATCACACATGTGACCACATTTTTTCCTTGCTGATTTATAAACCAGTCTGTCTTACCTGTACATTTACCAAGCTGTTCTGTTTTCTGCTTTTAGCCAGGTTTTTTCAGTCTAATTCTTGTTACAGATATTCCTGTTATCTTAATATATTTCATGAAGACTGAGATTGAGCTCTGCAGTCCCTTTTGCAGCAGTTGTTTTCTTACTGTGGTTCACAATCCAGCGCAATATAATTTTTTTTTTCTCTCTTTCGGTCAGTTGACCATGTCGACCGCACTTATACTTATCAGATGAGGCTTTCCTGGAAACTGTATATGCCGTCATAATGTTTGATACTGTACCTTGCGATATGGCAAATACATTGGCAACTTCCCAGTCCCAGAGGCACTGTCTAAGCAGGCACCAACAAATTTCCCTCTTTGAAGCTGTGACGTGACTCCATATTACTAGCAGCACGCTCAGTGAATGACAAAAGTGAGGCTTCCCACCTTTTAGCTAGGTGTCTCATCACACAACATAAGCAAAAGAATGTTACATTACTTCCATTTTTAATGGGAAACATGTCGTCACTTTCATACCTGCAAATCATGTAGTGTTTCCATTTTTGTGTCCAACACCTGTACATGCTGAGTTCAGGAAAGCAGAGTTGTGCTTTTTGGCACATAAGCACCATAAGACCTTCTTTATTTATGAGTCAAATCTGTAGTTATTTGTAGGTTTAAGTTACAATGAAGTAACAGGTTTGTATTTTATCAGATTAGAGTAATTCCAGTTAAACCCAGTGTTTAGCTACTTTCATTCAAAAATAATTATATAAGTGTCTTAAATGTTGCTAATTTATTTATACAAGACATTTGTGTTTAAATTAACGTCTGACAAACCAGAAATGTGGGTGAGAGTGGGACTACTGTAGCCTTGAGTCAGCAGGCTATATTGCACCACACACAACAATCTCACTAAGAGCTGGGGAACAAGATGTTTAGGTGGGCATATAGAATGGAGAAATAGCATGCAATAGCCATCACCAGTTAGGTCTTAGTTCAATGTTCACATATTGCTGGTTGAAGGTGGTCAGGTGACAATGAAAGTCATGCTCTTTGAACATTATAGCAGAAGATTGTGATTGGCTAACCAAAATTGCAAATATGACATTATAGCATATGACAGTTGCTTCCGTTCACATGCATATAATTCGAGTGTGTGATTTAGATATTTGTCTAGTGTGACTCTACTAAAGGGAATGTCCTCAGGGCTCCTTCATACCAGGTGCATTGAGCTTTGTTGACCTGCTTTAATCAATGCAGGCTCAATGCAAGGGCACAAAGAAAACAATTGTTTCATATATGTATTGTTCACACCATACCTTTTGCATTACTGTGTGCTGCCTAAAAAGGCAACATGTCTGCATTTTTAGATAATGCAACGCACCATACCACATGTCAAAGCATGATCAATGCATTGCACCTCTCCTTCACTATACACACCTGGGAAGGTATAATACGGAGCATAATGCACACAGGCTGGTATGAAAGGGCCCTTAATATATATCAGTTCAATGTCTTTTTAATTAAGTTGTTTCAATAAGCAATTGATTATTTGTCTTTGTAAATTTGTGATGGTAGAATGTCACATGCTCTACTTTATTTGGGTTATTTTACATTTATGGATATTTAATTTTCTCAGGACTGAGAAATGTGTCTAAAATTGTATCTTGTGAAATGTCCTTTTGCTCAGAATCGATATAACCAAGCCAAGTTAAGTATGCATGACAGAACATTAAAGGTGGCAGCTGTGGTAGAGAGTCTGGAGAGAGAGATGGAATTGCTTTGTTTAACCGGTGTTGAAGATCAACTGCAAGCTGATGTCAGACCAACTCTGGAAATGCTGAGAAATGCAGGGATAAAGGTAAGGGCTCTGAGGTTGTATCCTGCACATAAATGTAATGATTCAAAAATAATGCCAATCATATAGACTTATGCTGGAGTCTGTGTACTTGTTATGTTGCATATATCTCTATTTAACTTGTATTATACATTTTTTTCATTAGATCTGGATGCTCACAGGTGATAAATTGGAGACTGCAACTTGTATAGCAAAAAGTTCTCATCTAGTATCAAGAAACCAGGATATTCACATATTTAGACTAGTAAGTGTTCTAGTTTGTCACATACTTTTTTAGCATAATATTTGTCAACCAGATAGTGTTCTTTTCTTTCTTGTCCATTGAGAGACCTAGAAAGTTTGTAACCTTCAGGGTTAAAGTGGTTGTAAATTCTCAAGGTTTTTTAACTTTTGTGTGCAGCAGCCCCCCAATACTTACCTGAGCCCCAACTTGATTCAGTGATGTGCATGAGAGCCTCAGCTGTCCTGGATCTGTCACCTCAGTGGCTGAGACAGCAGGAGGTGCCATTGGCTCCCGCTACTGTCAGTCACAGCCAGTGAGGAGAGAGCAGGGGCAGGCCGAGCCACAACTGTGTGTGAATGGACACACAGAGCAGTGGCTCGGGAGCCCCCATAGCAAGCTGCTTGCTGTGGGGGCACTTGGCAGGAAAGAGGGGCCAGGAGCACCGGCAGGGGACCCAAGAAGAAGGAGGACTAAGGCTGCGCTATTCAAAACAACTGCACAGAGCAGATAAGTATAACATGCTTGCTATTTTAAAAAAAAAAGCCTTTACAATCACTGAGGATTTGACACTAGCAAACCAAAAACTAGGCCAACCCAGGGTACCCCTCCTACTTCAAGCATGCCTCGTCTTTTTGTAAGTGTTCTGGTTGGGTGGATATTTTCTCTTCAGCTCTACTGTGGTAAAGGCTAATATATTTCTTGCTAGCACTTTTTTCTTTCTTTGTAGTTGTGTACAAACAGTCTGCCCATACATGGATTGATGTTCGGCTCATCCATTTTGTTCCATGATTCTAGCAGGTGATCTGATTTTGAGCTGTACAAAAGAGATGGTCTACATCCCTCACACAGGGGCACTGAGCTTCTTAGTATGAAATTGAGGAGTTTTTTGAACATGCATTTAAACTGAGAAATGTGAGCAAGGATTTAATGATTTAATAAGAATTATCTGCTTGCTGACCCCCTCATGTATGAGTACAGTGGCAGAGAGGTTCTCCTGTGCCAGATCACATATCTGATACGTGATCCGGCTCTTCTAGGTAAGGGGTGCAGGCACGCGTGCCCGCCACCCCAGCTGTGCTGTAATTAGTCACAGCACAAGCTGATCAGCGGATCTTGGCCAATGATTTCCGGCTGGGGACCTACTAGATATTAACCCCTTCCCAGTCAGTATCTTTAGTACAGTATCAGTGTATATTATTAGGACTGATAACTGTATTAGTGTCACTGGAGATGTCAGTGGCAGTTAGTCAGTTCCCACATAATATCAGTTAGTGTCAGATTGCCCGCCGTATCACATTCCCGCTATAAGTCACTTTTCACCACCATTACTAGTATAAAAAGATAAATAAATAAGAATTCCAGTGTCTAAAACAGTTTGTAGATGCTATAACTGTTGCGAAAACCAATCAATATATTGTTATTTTTTTACCAAAAATATGTAGCAGAATACATTTTTGCCTAAATTTATGAGGAAATTTGTGTTTTCATTTTTTGGGGGGATATGTTTTATAGCAGAAAGAAATTATATTGAGTTTTCGCACAATTTCTGGTCTTTTTTCATTTATATCGCAAAAAAATAAAAAAAACCCTATGGTGATCAAATACCAACAAAAGAAAGATCTATTTCTGTGAAAAAATTATATAAACTTCATTTGGGTACAGTGTTGCATGACCGTGCAATTGTCAGATAAAGTAATACAGTGCCAAATAGCAAAAAATGGCCTGGTCATGAAGGGGGTAAAATCTTCCAGAAGGCAAGTGTTTATTGTCCTTAGCAGGTCAAAACAAATGTGGAGATTTGTGTTGCTAAGGACTTGGCTGCTGGGGTAGTTAATTCAGTTAACCAATAGCCTACAGGGCAATTATACCCCCTTCCTGCCCAGGCCAATATCCAGCTTTCAGCGCTGTCACACTTTGAATGACAATTGCGCGGTCATGCAACACTGTACCCATATGACATTTTTAGCATTTTTTTGTGACAGATAGAGCTTTATTTTGGTGGTATTTAATCACCTCTGGGTTTTTTATTTTTTCTTAAACAAACCAAAAACCACTGAAAATTTTGAAAAAAAATTTTTTTCTTAGTTTTTGTTATAAAATTTTGTAAATAAATGATTTTTCTCCTTCACTGATGTGCGCTAATGAGGCTGCAATGATGGGCACTGATAGGCTGCACTGATGGACACTGATAGGTGGCACTGATGGGCACTGATAAGGCACTGGTAGGTGGCACTGATGGGCATTGACAGGCATCACTGATATATGGCACTGGCTGGCACTGATAGGCGGGACTGACTGGCACTGTTAGGTGGCACTGACTGGCACTGTTAGGCGGCACTGATAGGCAGCACTGATGCACACTGATAGGCAGCACTGACTGGCAATGATAGGTGGCACTGACTGGCACTGATAGGCATTGATAGGTGGCACTGACTGGCACTGGTGGGTGACACTGAAAGGCAGCTCAGATGGGCACTGAGAGCTGGCACTGATGGACACTGACAGGTGGCACTGCTGGGGCTACACTGATCATCAGGGCACACTGATCATCAGTGCCCTGATGATCAGTGCACATGTCCCTTCCGAGGAATGCCAATTACTGGCTCTGCTCTCCTCTCAAGCTGTCAGCGTGACAGCTCGAGAGGAGAGACATGCCGATAACCGGCATTTCCCTGTTTACATGCGATCAGCTGTGATTGGACACAGCTGATCACATGACCAAGCCGACATCTTCGGCTCTTTCCGTGATCGTTCATCTGCTGTGTCCGAGGGACACAGCGCACCGCCAATCGCCGCGCTGCGCACTCCCGGAGCCCCGCATGCTCGGTGAGAATGGGAGGAAGTCATATAATGTCCTCCCAGAACGAGAGAACCACCTTGTGCCCGTCATTGGACTATATAAGGCGGCCGGGAGGCGGTTAAAGTTTCTGGTGTTAAAAATAATATAGTAGATAGCAGGGTTTGTCACGTCATGTACACTAATGTAATGTATGTCTTTTTGCTGATGATATTGAAAGTGCTCAATAGGGTTAATAATCCTAGAGGTGTCTGTAACATGCAACGTGATTTGGCATTGCTGGAAGTTTAGTCAAAGCTGTGGAAACTGAAGTTCAATGTTTCTAAATGTAGAATAATGCACCTAGGGTAAAGGAATCCCTTGATATACTACATTTTTGGGGATACAGTATTACAGAGTAAAAAGATTTGGGAATATTTATTTCAGATGATTGCAAAATAAGCAGTGTGGCCATGCAGTGGGAAAAGCAAATAAAATTCTAGGATGCATCACTAGAGGGATCACCCAACAGGAGGAAGGATGACCTGATTCTCCTATGTCGATCTTTAGTTAGACCTCATTTAGAATATTGTTCTGGAGACCTTACTTAAAAAAAAGATATTGATAAGATATAACAGGTCCAGAAATGGGTAACAAGAATGGTGAGAGGTCTGAGGGATATAACTTATCAGGAGAGACTTTGGGAATTTAATATGTACAGTCTGGAGGAAAGAAGGGAAAGGGGAGACATGAGATATCAAGGGTGGGTATAAGGTTCAGGAGGGCAGTATTTTCAATATGAAGCCAAGATGAAAAATACAGGGACATGGCCTCAAATTAACAGGAGGAAAGTTCAAAACTTTGAAGGCATTATTTTACTGAAAGAATAGGTGATGCTTGGAATAGACTTCCAGCAGAAGTAGTGAGTCAATAAACAGTAAGTGGATTCAAACATGCTTGGGACAAACAAGAACCTATACTCAAACAAAAAAGTAACAAATACGTAAAAAAAAACATGTATAAATATAAAAAAAATGGACAGACTCGATGGACCACTTGTTTTTTTTTTTGCCATCATTCTTCTATGTTTCTAAACCAGGACTGACCGATCAAAATCGCTAAAAACAAATCTCACCACTGCTGTGGTTGATCCTTTGATTATAAATCGCATGGAACCAGCATCCCAATATTTAAAATAGTGGCGTTAAGCATTGTACATATCATAAAAAAGCAAAAAAAAACAAAGATATTTTATTATTTTGGCAGTCAAAAGAAGGTACCAGCAACATTTGCTTATGAAAGCAGTCCATTTGAAGTTTTTAGATTTGATACATGAATATTAACTAATTGCTTGTTTAGCATAACACAAAACATCTAAGCAGAACAACAGTGGTGTGAGGCCTGTCGTGTCCACACTTTTCACAGTTATAGGCAAGTACATGATTAGTTTCCATGTCCATCTAAAAAGGAATATGCAAATACAGTAAAAAGTAAAAAATGTAGATTTGTAAACTTATAAATGCACCTTATACCCCTATTATCCTGGTTATCACACAACAGGCAACCTGTTGGGGGCATTGGACACATTTATATTTATCTTCTACTTGAAAGCCCAGTCCTGAGGACGCATTAACATAGGCCTTACAACATTGTTTTTCTGCTTAGGTGTTTTGTTTTAACACTGCCAGTGTGGAGGGCTTTTACGAGTACATGATGTTGGTGTCTTTTATGACAGATTAAATTAAATTAAATAAAAGGTATTAATTTAATTTGTGAATAACTTTGCAATGCTTTTTACCTGAATCACAATTGTAGTGTAATTTTAAAAGAGACAAATGATAGAATAAAATGTTTACTTATTATCTACAATAAAACTATTTTTTTAAACTAACTTACTTTTTATAAGACAGCATAAAAAATAAAGTCATGTTTGAGAGACATTATCACCAAAAGAAAGCCTTAAGCAAAAAAAAGAGAAAAAAATTGTTATATGTATTATAATGTTATCTTACCTGCTTGCCCGCCACCCTATAGCAGAAATACTGCTACAGGACAGCATGGCTGTGCAAAATCACGCATATATACATGATGTGCATTTCCGGGTAGGAAGCTCACACGCGTGATGCCCTACCAGCACAGCAGAGAAATACTAAGCAGCATGTCTCCGTAGAAAAAAAGCACACATAGTAAAAACACACACAGCACACAGTTAACCCTTTGATCACCCCAGATGTTAACCCCATCCTGCTCTGTGTCATTAGTACAGTATCAGTGCTTTTTATTAGCACCGATCACTGTATTAGTGTCACTGGAGATGTCAGTGGCAATTAGTCAGTTCCCACCCAGTGTCAAAATTCCCACTGCAGTCTGGCTATAAGTCGCTGATCGTTGCCATTACTAGTATAAAAATAATAAAAATTACAGTGTATATATACCGCCATTTGTAGACGCTATAATTTTCACGTAAACCAATTCATTTACATGTATTTGGATTTTTTTTAGCAGAGACATGTAGCAGAATACATTTTAGCCTAAATTTATGGCGAAATTTGATTTTTTTAATTTTTTAATTCTATATGTTTTATAGCAAAAAGTCAAAATATTGGGGTTTATTTTTTTCAAAATTGTCGGTCTCTTATTTTATATATTCAGTAACATCTATTAACCTTAAAAAAGACCGGATTGAAGCTTTACTTTTTAGGCCACTCCGTGGCCTACCTCGTAAACTTCGTTTGCTTGTAGGTTTTTTTTCTATGGCCACTAAACAAACTATTGCCAGCTCTTAGAAGTCCCCTAGTTTACAATTTGAGGAAGTCAGGTCTAGGATCCAAGGCTTCTTTATTAATGAGAAAATTGACAGCGAAATGGAGGACAACCATGACAGGCTCTTTTCAGTCTGGCAACCTTTGGTGGATTATTACTCAGTTTCACGCTTCACTACGAAACTCACTAATCTCTAATATGTTGAGATTTGCCCCTTCACTCCCTCTTTATGGGGGTCATGTATTCTGGCTCTCCTCATAGGCAAACTTCTTTCCTTTTGCTGGTCTATATACTTTCTCTTCCTGCACCCTTCCTTTTTTTCAGTCTCTTTTCGAGTTAGGGAGTCTAGTGCTCTTGACCCCCTCAGCTTTCCCTAGACTTCCTTTTATTTTTTCCTTATCTCTCTTCCTACATGGTTTATTTAGTGAAGACCGATTGGTCGTCACATGCTGTAGATACCTGGCAGTCCTATAATTCTCTGGAACATGTTTCCTCAGGATAGCAGGGCTCTCTACACTTTTGTTGTTTTTGTTGAATATTTCCTATGTATTCAATAGCATGAATGCAAGCTTCACAGTTTTCTGCTTTATGGTGCACCATCTAGGCCCCTGCGTGAGCCTTATATGTGTATTTATGTGTCCATGTATGATACTTTCATGTCCTCTATTTGCTGGTGCAACTTTGTATCACACGTGTTGTTTTGATTTGTATGTCTTTTTTTCACCATGTTTAATAAAGCTTTTGGTACCAGAAAAAATTATAAAAATAATAAAACATTAAATTGTAAAATTTTCGGTCTCTTTTTGTTTATAGTGCAAAAAATAAAAACCACAGAGGTGATCAAATACCACCAAAAGAAAGCTTTATTTGTGGTAAAAAGGGACATAAATGGCATTTATGTACAGCGTTGCATGATCGTGCAATTGTCAGTTAAATTAACGCAGTGCCATATTGCAAAAAATGGCCTGGTCAGGAAAGGGGGTAAATCCTCTGGAGGGCAAGTGGTTGAAGTATTACTAAACCCATAACAGTGAAATCAGTCTGTATATGCAGTAAAGCTTGCTTGTTATACTCACTGTGGAACATTACTGTGGAACATTACCTGCATAGAGTGTCTAACAAGACACCATGTTCTTTTTGCACACAAAGAAGAATTACCAAATAGGAAATAATTAAGCACATAAAATATATGAGAACATGTTAGGCACTCAGTAGAATATTTTAAATAATAATTATTTTTAAGGTATCTCAGGGAAACCAGCCATTTCACGTGCACTTTTAATTATAAAATGGTTTTATGTCCCCATATAAAAATGGTAAAGTTGTTAAGACTTCTTTTGCTGCCCTCCGATAAGACATATGTCTGTGTCTCATCTAAATGAAGCACTTTTCCGACAGAAATAATTATTAGAATATAATTTACATGTAAATGTAGTTTGTTGTGAAACAGAATAGCAGATTAGGCCCTGCAGTCTGCCATTTGCAATTAAATTATTAATGCTTCTGATAAAACTTCAGATCAATTTTTGTTGACCTTTTCGTAAAGTAACATCACAAATTAGGTTTCTTGAAGAAAATCTATTTAGTTTGAGTTTTTCTATAGCTTATAATAAGAAAAGAGACTACAATTATGTTAATTTGCTGTGTTGGGTCATTGAAATGAAATTCAGAGCTTTGATTGTTTCTCAGTGGTTAGCGTTATAAGGATGTATGCTAATCTTCTACAGTTTTCAGTATTGGTAATTAGTGCAGTGGATGATTCTTTATTTCTCATTGGCTGCTGAAAGTTCATTTACTTATAGAAATTTTTTTATGAATGATTTCATGGCTATCTGGACAACAGTAAAGCTTATAAATCCTGATCAACCAGACTATTGAGGCTTTATAGTAAAGGGTCAATCTGCCCCATGGTGCTGGGCTCAGTTATCTATTGTTTTATTCTTTTTTTTTTTTTTTAATGTCAAAATATCCCCAACAAAAATGTTGGAAACTTGTGTTGAAGCAAAGCATATACCCCAAGCTGCTGCATATACCTTTGAACTGCCACTGTGTGTTTTCTGAAAGCCTTTCTGAACCTAGACACAACATATAGTATGATCTGGGCACGTTAAAAATGTTTTATATTTTCTTGTTATTGCATTGGGCTAGCATGTGAATGAACCCTTAAAAGTCATCTCATGGTACATACTTTTTTGCCTGCTGTTTAATACTATTGTCCTTGGACAGGTTCACTGTCAGTGCAAAGTATCTAAGATGTCAAGTACAAACAAGACCTGGACAAACACACATAAACATAAGGTTGAATTTAGTAGTGGGAACTGTAGCATGGAGGCCAGTCTACTAGCATTGACGTTGGCTTGTGCTGTAATGTCCATGGCCAGGGGTTGAGTGCGGAGAGCTCTTATGATCTGACTGTATGTAGGTTCTCTTTCTTTTGTGAACATCACATTCTGACAGGAGTGGCGTGGGGGGTGCACAATGCTGCTCCACGGGTATAAGCTTTGTTTGCCAAACAGAAAGCCACATAAAAGCTAAAATATCAAATCTCTTTTGTTACAAGTGGTTGGAATCAACAATTAGGCTCAGATTGTCCAACCCAACCCAAACTGAAAGATATGTTTCACATTACATTTTATATTTTAAGCTGTGTCATATTAAATAGCCATAACAACCTTTCTATTCTTGTTGATACTTTTATATTTGTTTTGATTGCTATTTTTTTTTTCATTTTCAGTAGCACAGATGCCTTTATATTGCATGGGTACTCTGCCATTTTGCAATATTTCTTGGGCATTCGACCATTTTGCAGTCATGCATACCTGTATTCCACAATTGTGTTTTAGGAAACAGTAAAACTGATTTTGTTTTTTTAAAGGTAAGCAGTCGAAGCGAAGCTCACTTGGAACTTAATGCTTTCCGAAGAAAACATGACTGTACCTTGGTAATAGCAGGGGATTCTCTTGAGGTAAGATTATATGCAGACAGAATATATTATATGCAAATATAATATGTAAAATATGTCCTAAAGTATCTTGATTGAAATAGAATCAATATATTTGAAAATAAAATAGCGAATGTGATTGTCCCTGCATCGTGTGATTTGTGGATTATGGGGTGCAAGTGTTATATTGTAATAGTGTACTACCCTGTACAACTCTGTCTTATTAAGAAAAAGTCAAAGAAATAAAAGTGTAATATGTATTTACGTAAACATAAGTTGAAGTAAGGAGTTAGCCATTGGCCTCTGCTTCTGAAAAATACTGGTATTTCAAGCTGATCAAATAGCTTAAATTCATTTAGATTCATTTACTAAAGGAATAGAAATTGTTCCCTGAGAAAAGTGATTGTTGTGCATGCACATGATTAGATAATTAAAGAAAACACAGCTTTACCATATTTACCAAGCTCAGTGAACATTCACTTTGCAAAGTGAAATTGCCCCAAATGAGTCATTGACCTGACACAATATAGAGATCAGCAGTCCATATCTATTATGCTGCATGCTGGTTCTGAATCTGTATCCCAGAATTATTGAAGCTGTATTCACACAATTAGAACTTTCCAAAGGAGGTCAGCAATGGCAGCCCTGCCTATTTCTCTTAATACAAATTTAATTTAAAACTATGTTGTTCAGTACTAAATCCAATGATTCAGCAGTAAGGTTGTGCCTAAAGTATAACTAAAGGCAAAACATTATCTTTAGTTTTGGACAGAGTGGAGATGGATTAGAGACCTATTAGTTTTTGGGGTTTTTTGCTGCCTGTACCCCCATTAAGGAGCTTCACTCTCTCTGTCTGTCCTGTTTACCATTATCATTGAAAGTAAAAGAAACCCCAAATTTTGGGTTGTCCCAAGAAAAGTAATAGAGGAGAATTTTTCCAATGGGGACACTGGTTCTGGTGACCTGGGGGTCCCTAAGGAATTCCCTTAAGTTACAGAGATTTTCTCACTTCCTGTTTTGGCTATGGGACAGAAAGTGAAGATAAATCTCCCCAATAGGACACAGAAAAAATAAACTGACAGGGGTTATAACTCTCCCTTCTAATCCAATGTCTATAGTTCTACTTTAGGGCAGTAACTATTAGGAATCAGTTATGGTTGGTTGCTGTGGCATAGTACATCGCTGCCTTCTGTTCTGCCTTTTGAAAAAGCCTAATAGTTTTTGATTTATACCTTCCATTACTGACATTTTGTAAAGTATATTAAATGCTGTATCTCTTTGCACCCTCTAGGTGTGTTTGAAGTATTATGAGCATGAATTTGTTGAACTTGCCTGCCAGTGTCCTGCTGTTGTGTGCTGCCGATGTTCACCAACACAGAAAGCTCAGATTGTAAAGCTCTTACAGCAACACACAGGAAAACGCACATGTGCTATAGGTGAGGCAGCAATGCCAGTGTAATATTGATAGGACCACTGCCTTGTTATAAAGCTAAAGCCTCACATGTTATACTGTGCCTTGTATAAAAAATGTGAATGAAATAGAAAAAATAAATTTCTACCTGACCTTTTAAATCTTATGTGTATTCAGGTCTATTCACATCCCTGAACATAAAGTAACATACATTTTAGCATGCATTAAAGTGCTCTAATATGCATTTTACCATTGTTTACTACCTTTGTACATTTATGGAATGTTGCAATAAACGTATAGTGAATGTCCAGCCAAAATAGTTTTTATCTTAGTTTTGTGAGGAGCGGGGAAGTATTCAAAAGAGCATGCAAAGATTTTGTGAATGTACAACTTACTCTTACTTATGTAATGATATTTTTTTTGCTCAGGGGATGGAGGTAATGATGTGAGCATGATCCAAGCAGCTGACTGTGGGATTGGCATAGAAGGAAAGGTAATATTATTTTGTTTTAACATTCTATTGGCATGCTGGCTATAATCACTGTGTTTATAGAAACACCTTCTTTTAAACTGTATATCTTAATTGTACAGTAGAATATTCGTACACGTGAGTTATAGGCGTGTGGCTTCAGGTATTTGGACACTGGCAAAGCTTTAAAAGACATGTCCCCTGACAGCTGCTCTAGAACCCTACCCCAACTTCGTGAGTCCTCAGTTTTGTGCCTGTAGATGATGGATTTTTACTCCTTCATTGAGAAAATAATCCTTAGCTTAAATAATTTATTATTTGTCTTTAATATACTATCTTCAAATTCTTCCCTCAACTGATCACTGTCTTCTATGCCAACGTGGAAGCAGTGTATCCATATCAGAGCAACCTCTTTAAAACTTTGGTAGTTGAACCCAGACCCCATACTGTGGGGACGGCTTGCAATAGGTCCAAACAATAGCAGTTATCCCATTTAAGAAGTAATTAACAAAACATTTGGCATTAAATGACAGTATTACATCCCATAAGACAGGTACAGGGAAGTAAAAAAAAAAAAGAAGAGCAATACTTAAACTACAGTAACCAGGCTTCAGTCTATACAATATCAGCTGTTGTTATTCAAATTGGTTAAAAAGATATGTGACATGGCGCATTGCCAAAAAGAACATAGATAAAAGTCACCCACATGTAATAGGATGTTGCAACCAGCAGTCCCAAATTTTATTGTATTTGGATAGACAACCCCTATGATTATAAATAAGCATTTACTTTCAGCAGCCAGGCTTGGAAGGTAGGAGGTAAAGCTTGCATCCAGTCTCCTGCTATTAGCTTTCTTGCAGTGAATAAAGTTTCATGTAGAAATATTGTAATAAATTGATCTGCATCAGGATTTGGATTTAGCCCTAAAAAGCATTGCTTGGGATGTAGAGTTAGTGGGGAGCCCATTGTGTCATGAAGAAACTTCCCCACTTGAGTCCAATATCCTTGGATATTGGGGCAGGCCCACAATAAATGAAAGGATGTGTCTGGAGCAAATTAGAGCATTGGGCATAACGGACTATGGTAAGGCCAAAACTTGGATAGGCACATAGGGATCAGATAGGTTCTGAAACCTGGACTTTTTATACAGTTCAGCGTCATGGTCAGGTAAGAAGACCCAATGTTTGCAATGTATTCTCCTTGCAGTGTAAACATTTCAAACTTGGTGCTAAAAGTAACCTCTAAAAGCTCAGTCTCAAGTGGAAGACCAGGTATTACATCACACCACTGGTTGTGTGCTTTATTGCTACTTCCACCTAGAGCCCTTATGAGGTACTCAGGTGCTTTCTCATGCCCCTTAGTCGAGCATGTTTTACAGAAAAGCCTACACCTGGGTTATCACAGATGCTTTATGTACATGCTTACCCTATACTGTACACCCTATTCTGTGAGTACCCACAGAGAAATACCCTCACCTGTAGATATGACAGGGACCAGGCGAAAAGGAACCATTTTAAAAATCACAGGCAAATATTAGCTCTGCTGAAGACCCGCATAGAGCTCCACCTCAGAGTTACGGTGCATCCCACCTCAGAGTAAGCACAGGCTCTATCACTGGTCTAAGCATCCAATTCTAGCTTTACTTCACTCACGGGAATAAGTGGCCTATTTGAGTAAAGCAGAATTCTCTGCATCTATGTAACATTTCCTTCCAAGATTTATGGATTTAATACAGCCACCTTCATCCAGATCAAAAAAGGCCACACCTCTTCTCCTTCTTCTGTTTCACAACGTGAGCCAGATCCCGATATACTGGCCTAAAGGATGCAAACACAGAAGGGATTGAAGAGGATATTGAGGCAGTATGGGAAGAAGCTGCAGAAGATTTTTATTCTCCAGAAGGCTGATATATTGAATAGGGAGTTTCACACCACCTGCTTTCTAACATTTAAAAGATCATTGCTTGTGTCTGCAAAATCTTTGGCATTGTGCAGCCTGACTCTCCTCTGTCTCCATGCCCCTTTGGGTATAGAGACCTGCAAAATCCTGTAAAACATTCCCTGTTTATGAACAGATAGGATGTGCAGTCTATTATGATTGGATCACTCCAGAAAGGATCTTCACTTCTGTCCAAATTTCTGCTAAACTCTAGTGAAAAATAAATTGCAAAGAAGTGGGCTGTTCCTTTGATTGATCCTGTTGTCTCTGTCCTAATCAAGCATCTCACTATACATATAGAAGAGGTTCCTTCTTCAAAGATTCTACAGATAGAAAATTTGAGACTCTCTCTTTATTCTTGCAGGCCCTGCCTTGCAACCAACTCTTACTGCAATTTCAGTACATCTAACTGCAGATACATGGGCAGTGAAATACTAACATGACTACTACTAGAAAATAGAGTTTAAAACTCTGCCCCTCACCACTTTCTTCTTTCAAATCAATCAAAAACTGCCCAAAGACAGTTGGATTTGTAGAATTCTGTGAACCATCATTTGTCCCAGGTAGCTATAGTGCCAGTACTGCTACAAGACAGGTTAAAAGGATTCTACTCAAACCTGTTTATGGTACCATAGCCCAACAGGGTTCCTTCAAGTTGTGGAATTTCACATGATATATGCAAGGTTAATAATTGCCTCCCTGAGACAGATAAGAGGATTACATGGCATCCACGGACAGCCAAGATACCTATCTATATTACATAATCCAATTTACCCACATCGTCAGCTCTTTCTGCAGTTTGCCGTGGCAGAGAATCACTTCCAGTTTGGCACACAGCCTTTTGGTCTATCCTCAGCTCCCAGAGTGTTCACAGAGTTTTTAGCAACTCTATTTACCCTTCTTAGAACTTGAGGCATCCAATTCACAGACCATCAAGATGACTTTCTTCTGAAACTATCAGAAAATGTCTACAGAAGAATTCAAATGCTCCATGCCTTTGGATGGGTGATTAATTTAAACATATCTGTTCTCCAGCCTTCATTTTGCCTGGAATACTTGAGTTTAGTCCTAGGCACATCATAAACTAAAGTCTTTATTCTATAAAAAAAAGATTTTTTTCTCTAAGAGCACATGCTCAAGAATTGAGATTTAAGAGACAGTCCACAATCACATTCTACATGAGAGAGCAAAACCTATTGGTAGTTTCCGTCAAGGCAGTACCAATACACCCACTTCCATTTATAAACTCTCCAACTAAACATCTTGATGACCTGGAAATAATAGGTTCCTTATATTTATATACCTATGTTCCTGTCCAGCCAAGCAAGGAATTCCTTATCTTTGTGAATCACCACCCCAACAATGCCCATTAAACCAGATCGGTGGGATTTTACTGGGCATTTCGGCAGCAAGCCTCTGTAGCCCAGTTGTGTAAAACCACCACCTGGTCTTCTGTTCATAATTTTCAAACTTTTACCATGTAGACATCCAATCTTCTGCAAATGCAAATGTCACTCTGAAGTTGGATCTTCTGGCCCATGTTGTTTTGGCCTATTGGCAAAGTAATGTTTAACTCATTGTTGCTCATACTGTTTATGCATTGCTTGGGAACTTTCCTGGTGTCCTTGGTCTGGTTGCGTGATCTTAGGGGTTCTCTAATTCCAGTGGTGGGTGGGTCGTAAAAATGGTCATTAGCAAGGGTTCCTGCTTGGCCTCGTGACCAAGCAGGAACCCTTAATACTGACCATTTTGTGCCAGACACAAGTTTTATACATCTGAGATCCAGAGCCAGTCATTTTCTGGGTGGAATTACATCATTCTGGTGAGCAGCATTTAAGACCCACCCACCACTGGAGTAAGTGAACCCTTAAGATTACGCAACCAGACCAAGGACACCAGGAAAAAGGATTCACCCTAATCAGACCGAGGACCAAGTGATGCCGTGGAGAAGTTATACTTTTTTCAGAGGGATTTCCACATAGAGTCCAGCTGTATTTTATACGCAGCAAATCTGGCCGCAGAGGGGCTATATCTTTTGGAGGAGTTGCTGTACAAAAAGATCATTTGTTTTTTGTTTCTGGTGAGTGCAATAAGATGAAGGATTGTCACGGATATACTTATCACTCCATCTCATTTGTTACAATTCAACACTTTTGGACACTTTAATTTGGACTTTTTGTTATTTATAATTTTATTCATTTATGCACTCTAAACATCTTTTTATCACGCAGGTCATCAGTCTTAAGAATATAATTATTCTAGTGTTTTACTAGTCGTTTCACTTTAATTTATGATACACATTAGCGCTGCACCTTTTTTGTATATGTTTTCTTCTAAGATTGCCCTGTATTTGGCTCCATCCATCTTCCCATCAACTCTGGCGAGCTTCTCTGTCCCTGCTGAAGAAAAGCATCCCCACAATGTGATGCTGCCACCACCATGTTTCACGGTGGAGATGGTGTGTTCAGGGTGATTTGCAATGTTAGTTTTCCACCACATATAGCATTTTTTAGGCCAAAAAGTTAAATTTTGGTCTCCTCTGACCAGAGCACCTTCTTCCATATATTTGCTGTGTCCCCCACATGGCTTCTCGCAAACTGCAAAGGGGAATTTTTATGGCTTTTTTTCAACAGTGGCTTTCTTCTTGCTACTCTTCCATAAAGGCCAGATTTGTGGAGTGTACAACTAATAGTTGTCCTGTGGACAGATTCTCCCACATGGGCTGTGGATCTCTGCAGCTCCTCCAGAGTTGCCATGGGCCTCTTGGCTGCTTCTCTGACTAATGCTCTCCTTGCCTGTCAGTTTAGGCGGACAGCCATGTCTTGGTAGGTTTGCAGTTGTGCCATACTCTTTCCATTTTCGGATGATGGATTGAACAATGCTCCATGAGATGTTCAAAGCTTGGGATATTTTTTAATAACCTAACCCTGTTTTAAACTTCTCCACAACTTTATCACTGAGCTCTCTGGTATGTTACTTGGCATCCATGATGCTATTTGTTCACTAATGTTCTCTAACAAACCTCTGGGGGCTTCACAGAACAGCTGTATTTATACTGAGATTAAATTACACACAGGTGGACTCTGTTTACTAATTAGGTGACTTCTGATTGCAATTGGTGTGGGATATTGTAATTATACAGTGGGGATCGAAAGTTTGGGCACCCCAGCTTAAAATTTGTATTAATGTGCATAAAGAAGCCAAGGAAAGATGGAAAAATCTCCAAAAGGCATCAAATTACAGATTAGACATTCTTATAATATGTCAACAAAAGTTAGATTTTATTTCCATCATTTACACTTTCAAAATAACAGAAAACAAAAAAATGGCGTCTGCAATAGTTTGGGCACCCTGCAGAGTTAATATCTTGTACTACCCCCTTTGGCAAGTATCACAGCTTGTAAACGCTTTTTGTAGCCAGCCAAGAGTCTTTCAAATCTTGTTTAAGGTATCTTTGCCCATTCTTCCTTACAAAAGTCTTCCAGTTCTTTGAGATTTCTGGGCTGTCTGTCACGCACTGCTCTTTTAGGGTCTATCCATAGATTTTCAATTATGTTGAGGTCAGGAGATTGTGAAGGCCATGGCAAAACCTTCAGTTTACGCCTCTTGATGTAATCCCCCGTGGATTTCGAGGTGTGTTTAGGATCATTATCCATTTGTAGAAGCCATCCTCTCTTTAACTTCAGCTTTTTCACAGATGGTATCAAGTTACCATCCAAAATTTGCTGAAATTTTATTGAATCCATTTTTCCTTCTACTCGTGAGATGTTCCCTGTGCCACTGGCTGCAACACAACCCCAAAGCATGATTGATCCAACCCCATGCTTAACAGTTGGACAGAGGTTCTTTTCATTAAATTCTGTGCCCCTTCTTCTCCAAACGTACCTTTGCTCATTCCAGCCAAAAAGTTCAATTTTAACCTCATCGGTCCACAGAACTTGTTTCCAAAATGCATCAGGCTTGTCTATATGTTCATTTGCAAAGTTCAAACGATGATTTTTGTGGTGAGGACGTAGAAGAGGTTTTCTTCTGATGACTCTTCCATGAAGACCATATTTGTACAAGTATCTCTTTATAGTGGAATAGTGTACCACAACTCCAGTGTCTGCCAGATCTTTCTGGAGGGATCGTGCAGTCAAACGTGGGTTTTGAATTGTTTTTCTCACAATCCTGCGAGCTGTTCTGTCTGATATTTTCTTGGTCTTCCAGATCTTGCTTTAACTTCCACTGTTCCTGATGACTGCCATTTCTTAATTACATTCCGAACAGAGGATATTGACATCTGAAAACGCTTTGCTATCTTCTTATAGCCTTGTCCAGCTTTGTGAGCGTCAACTATTTTCAGTTTCAGTTTTCTAGACAACTGCTTAGAAGAACCCATGGTGCTGATTGTTGGGGCAAGGTCAGATGAGTCTGGGCATTTAAAACCTTTGAGATTGACATAACCTGGTTTTCCCAGACGATGATTGAGAACAATCCATGACACTGGCAGGTCTCAGCTTTGCAAAGGGGGCAGTGCATGCTATAAATTCTGCAGGATGCCCAAACTTTTGCAGACGCCATTTTTTTGTTTTCTGTTATTTTGAAAGTGTAAATGATGGAAATAAAATCTAACTTTTGTTGACATATTATAAGAATGTCTAATCTGTAATTTGATGCCTTTTGGAGATTTTTCCATCTTTCCTTGGCTTCTTTATGCACATTAATACAAATTTTTAGCTGGGGTGCCCAAACTTTCGATCCCCACTGTATGTGTGTGTATATATATATATATATATATATATATATATATATATATATATATAGTTCATATTCACGCTATTGACCAAAAAGATAGCCAAGGACTCCTTACTATGTTAATTTATGCACAAGGTAATTACCTTACCTTTGTTATGTTAGGGTTACCCTGTGGTTGGATAAATATGTGGAGAGTCAGGGGGAGATTCAGAGCAGGTTATTTGCAAATCTACCAGCATTGTAAAATGTACGTTTGTCTGATTAGATTTGGAAAGGTCTTAAATATTCATAGTGTACTTATTTATGGTGAACAGAATTTCAAGGTGAGTCTCGTGTCCACCTTTGTACAACGATGTTAAAGACTGCAGTTTTGCCACAAACAAGACAAGGAGTATCTATTTAACTTTGTAATTAAAATCTATGCATACAGCTGTTCTAGTTCTAGACATATTGTTTGTAGCACATAAGATCAAACATGCTTATAAAACCAACCAATCAGATTGCTTAACACTTTGGTCAATGGGAAAAGGTGTATATTAGGGAAGGTTTTTTGGTTGAGTTCAGGAGTAAGTGGGACAGGAGAAAGTGGGTCCTCTGAAGGTGTCTGATACCCTGTCTGTTTTATGGATTGTTACTGAGCTGATTAAATGCATCTCTCTGGAAAAGAACTGTTGGACTAGTTGCTGCGGGAAAATACATTTATAAATAAGTTATCCTCCAAATTGAGATAAGACAACAATTGGTTTCACTAGATTTTGGTTAGGGGTATCAGAGTAAAGGGGACTGAATACAAATGCATGCACACACACTTTTCAGATATTTATTTCTAAAAAAAAATTTAAAATTTCACAATGATGTGCTACTTTTTGTTCGTCTATCACATACAATCCCAATAAAATACATTTACGTTTTTGACAAAATGTGGAAAATTTCAAGGGTATGAATACTTTTTCAAGGTACTGTATACTTACAGCACAGCTGAAAAATAATCTTGCTAATACTGTTAATACGAGACTAGAGCTCCATCTACTGGAATGTAAAATATTGAGCGGGGTTGTAAGCCCAGCTTGACTTATACAGAATTGATGCTTTTTTTTTTTTAAACATGTATATGACTTGAAATAGTTTAGACTTGGTGAATTACATCATCAGTCTAAAAGCAGAATAAACCCTAAATAAAAAAAAGTATATTGCATCTTGTCAATTCTTAAATATGGTGACTGCATTATTTTTTTCCTTTATTTTCACCTGTTCATCTGGTCAGTAGTTTTATTTTACAACTTCCTTTAACAGATCAAGCTGTCCAGCAAAAGTGGCAGTTAGAGGATTGAGACGAGCTATTAAAAACTGATCATTGCTCACAGTGGTCATTTTATGTAAAACTTTTATCCTTGTTGTAGATGCTTAAAAAGGATTAGCAGGAGTTCAACCTTAAAGTGGTTGTAATCGTGAGACATGAAATGTGAACAAAACATATCCCTCTATAGTGTGTACTTGTCTCTATCCAGGGTAGTAAGTGTCATTTCTATCTGCTGCTTAATTCCTCTGCTATCAGAATGAACCACTTCTGACACGTTTTCTTGACACCAAGAGAAAAATGGTGATGGGGAGGGTCCTCAAGCATATTGACAGCCTCAGCTCTCTTCCTGTGAGTTGTGTGGAGGGGGTGTCTCCTCCCTCCAAACAGCTCTCAGAGCTTTTCACACTGAGCTCTGCAGAGTGTAATTTCTGCTCTCTGCCTCTGTTTTCTGAAATCTCAGACAAAGTTTATAAATTCAGCATTTTGAACAGCTGTAGAGAAAAGAAGACTGTAGATAGACAGGTGCAACTTTTGTAGGAGGATTTGTTTCATCTCTGTGTATCACCTGAGGCCAGTCACTTCACTGGGTATATGTAAGTGTTTACAGACACTTTAATTTGTTAGTTAAGTCTATGTAAATCTGCTAGTACATCAACCCTTTTCAGAAAGATGGCAGTGCTACAAGTGTGGCTGCATTGCTCCTCCTTAGAGTGAAGCCACCCCAAGACGGGAAGTGTGTTAATGGGCAGATCACCAGGTAAATAAAGGAAAAAAGCCTAAAAAAAGAACTGAAAACCACCATGTATAAGCATTGGTTTGGGAGTTCTAAGTCATTTTCTAGCAAAAAATGCAGTTTTGTTACATGTATGATAGAAATGTCAGAATTGGCCTGGTAGGCAAGTTGTTAAATTGGGTTCTATTTAAAAAAAAAAAAAGGAAACACCATTACTAGACTACAAAGGAAAGTTAACATTTAAAATAAAAGTATTATAAATGTTGATTATCAAATGACAACACAGCACTAGCCATGTCCCCATCATCAGATAATAAATAAACAAGCCCCCATAAAAATACTACCCACCAAACTTCCCACTATAAGGAGAGTTTTGCTGTGTACAGTTTTGAAAGTACTCTCAGTCCAACTTTCCTAGACAGTCAATATTACTGTCTTAAATGAACGGGGGACTTGGGAGTAGAGATCCTTCTCAGGGAGTACGTGGTAGGTGTCAAAACGCGTATGCAACTGATTTCGCTGGTCAAACCCAGCTTCATCAGAGATCAGATACTGTCCAGTTACACATTACAACAGATAGCCCCGGTGATGATGAATATATAGATGTATAGATAAACCCAATTACTGTGCATTTGTTAAGATGTGCCAACACAGTGTACATAGTAGAGAATATCGCCTTTTTTATTTTTTTTGTACAATAAATGGTCTTAAGACAGGAGCATGGCTAGTGTACTTTTTTTGCTTAATATTTGACATTAATATTATTGTTATTTTATATGGTAACTCTTTGATGTAGCCTAGTAATGGTGGTTCCTAATTTTGTTTTGTTTTATGTCACGGTAGTTTCTGGACAGGTAAGAGGTTTTTAGGCCTACAATTGGGTTCATGTTTGTGTGCAATTTGAATATTTTGCTTGTAATCAGTTCTATTCATCATTTTATTGCAGGAGGGAAAACAGGCTTCCCTTGCAGCTGACTTTTCCATCACGCAGTTTAAGCACATTGGCCGACTTCTGATGGTACACGGTCGAAACAGTTATAAAAGATCAGCAGCACTGGGACAGTTTGTTATTCACAGGGGCCTTATTATTTCCACTATGCAGGTAATACCATAAGTGCCATTCAAATCATAAAAAATGCTAACTATATCTTTTATAGTATAGGATGTCTGTGTTGACTCATGCCACACAATTAGTCACTAAACTGCTTTAGCTCAGAGTCTATATTGGTTACAGCAAGCTTTTAACTAATTGTTAACAGCAGTGGCTTCCTCTTGACTGTCTCAAACTTCGAGTACAGTAGTGCCCATTCTGAACAAGCCAATATACAACTGCTTTGTTTTTTCTTTATAATTTCATTTTAAATTTATCCACCTGGGTCAGATGTGGTGGGTCAAATTAATTCCTTTGTTTTATGAAGGCATAATGTGCATTTCAGCAGTTCTGATCAAAATCTTTTGGTTCCTTTTGCCGATTTCATGATAAGCTGGCTTTTGATCCCACTTGAATTCTTCTCAAGCCACATTCCTACACTGATGAATACCACAAAGGCAGCAACAGCTGTACACAAGCTGGAAAAGTGAAAAAACACAAATTTATACTGTACCTGTGCTAAAATTCAGTATTTCAGGATAGACATTTGGCCACATGGGACATAAAGAAAAGTTTCCACAGAGCTTCACTTCCGGTTTCTGTTACTTGCAATGCAAGCATCGGGAACCCAGAGGCTAGTGAAGAACTAGCCCGGGTGATGATGACGCTGGACCCCACATCTGTGACTTTTTAAATTGCAATTAGTGTCTGTGTATAACTAGTCAAAGAATTTGTTAGCTCTCATGTGAATGCACAGAGCAGGCTAGATACTGAGCCATGGGGAGCAGAAAAGAGCTGTCAAGAGACCTGCATATCAACGTAATGGAACTTTATAAAGATGGAAAAGGATATGAAAAAAATACCCAAAGCCTTGAATATGCCAGTCAGTACTGTTTGATCACCTATTAAGTGGAAAATTCATATCTTGATACCAAGCCAAGGTTAGGTATACATAGAACGATTGCAGCCACAACTGCCAGGAGAAGTATTCGGGATACAAACTTAAACCCACAGGTAACCTCAGGAGATATAAATGCAGCTCTGGAAAAAGACAGCATGGTTGTTTTCACGGAGCACAATATGATGATACTTGAACAAAAATTAGCTGCATGGTCGGGGTACCAGAAAGAAATGTCAGTACCACAAAAAAGCCAGATTACAATATGCCCGAGAATAGCTTGACATTCCTCAGCGCTTCTGGCACACTGTAAGCTGGAGTGATGAGACCAGGTTAATTTGAGGGTATGTACATCCAAATTGGAGGAAGGGTTTAGGAATTACAGCTCTTAAGAGCAGCCATCCCCCCTTTTTCAAGGGACCAAAAGTAATTGGACAATTGAATCAAAATCTCTTTCATGGCCAGGTGTGGGCTACTCCATTATTTCTTCATCGATTAAGCAGGTAAAAGGTCTGGAGTTGATTCTAAGTGTGATATTTGCATTTGGAATCTATTGCTGTGAACCAACATCATGCGTTCAAAGGAGCTGTCCATGCAAGTCAAACAAGCCGTTGTAAGGCTTCAAAAATGAAGAAAATCCATGAGAGAGATAGCAGCAACATTAGGAGTGGACAAATCAACAGCTTGTTACATTCTTTTTTTTTTATTTTTTTATTTTGTTTTTAAATGTATTAAATTTTCCAGTACAAAACAAAGAAAGGAACAACCTTGTCCATAAACACTTCACATGTACTTAAAATTCTATTTTACCTCGCCTTACCCCCTAGCCCCACCCTTCCTCCCACCCTCCATTTACCCCAGTCCACGTCCTATAAACCAATTTCTCTAATAGTTGTCTATCTATATCCATATCTCTTCTCTCACACCTCCACTCTCTCTTTTGGGTAATCCGTTGAGCCCTCTCTAGATTTCCGCCTAGACTCCGACCAACTCTGGATATCTTTTAGATGTTTTAAAGTTTAACTAACTGTTCCACGTTTTCCTAAATTATTCTGTTTTGAAAATTTCTCCAGTTTGGATGTACATACCCTCAAATTAAACCTGAGAGTGTGCACTTTCAGCCTATATCCATTATATAACTATAGCTTGAATATGTTTTGGTAAATACCTGAAAAAAACTAAATTTATGTTTGTGTCCAAATATATATGGACCTAACTGTATATATGTGTGTGTGTATATACAGGTGAAACTAGAAAAATTAGAATATTGTGGAAAAGTTCATTTATTTTTCAGTAATGCAACTTAAAAGGTGAAACTAATATATGAGATAGACTCATTATATGCAAAGCAAGATAGTTCAAGCCGTGATTTGTCATAATTGTGATGATTATGGCTTACAGCTCATGAAAACCCCAAATCCACAATCTCAGAAAATGTGAATATTGTGAAAAGGTGCAATATTCTCAGCTCAAAGTGTCCCACTCTAATCAGCTAATTAAGCCATAACACCTGCAAAGGGTTCCTGAGCCTTTAAATGGTCTCTCAGTCTGGTTCAGTAGGAATCACAATCATGGGAAAGACTGCTGACCTGACAGTTGTGCAGAAAACCATCACTTACACCCTCCATAAGGAGGGAGAGCCACAAAAAGGTAATTGCAAAAGAAGTTGAATGTTCCCAAAGTGCTGTATCAAAGCACATTAATAGAAAGTTTGTGTGGAAGAAAAAGGTGCACAAGTAGCAGGGATGACCGCAGCCTGGAGAGGATTGTCAAGAAAAGGTCATTCAAAAGTGTTGGGGACTTTCACAAGGAGTGGGCTGAGGCTGGAGTCAGTGCATCAAGAGCCACCACACACAGACGGATCCTGGACATGGGCTTCAAATGTTGTATTCCTCTTGTCAAGCCAATCCTAAACAACAACAATGTCAGAAGCATCTTACCTGGGCTAAAGAAAAAACAGACCTGGTCTGTTGTTCAGTGGTCCAAAGTCCTCTTTTCTGATGAGAGTAACTTTTGCATCTCATTTGGAAACCAAGGACCCAGAGTATGGAGGAAGAATGGAGAGGCACACACTGCAAGATGCTTGAAGTCCAGTGTGAATTTTCCACAGTCTGTGTTGATTTGGGGAGCCATGTCATCTGCTGGTGTTGGTCCACTGTGCTTCATTAAGTCCAGGGTCAACGCAGCCGTCTACCAGGAGATTTTGGAGCACTTCATGCTTCCGCAAACGAGCTTTATGGGGATGCTGACTTCATTTTCCAGCAGGACTTGGCACCTGCCCACACTGCCAAAAGCACCAAAACCTGGTTCAATGACCGTGGGATTACTGTGCTTGATTGGCCAGCAAGCTCGGCTGACCTGAACCCCATAGAGAATCTATGGGGCATTGCCAGAGAAAGATGAGAGACATGAGACCAAACAATGCAGAAGAGCTGAAAGCCGCTATTGAAGCATCCTGGTCTTCCATAACACCTCAGCAGTGCCACAATCTGATAGCTTCCATGCCACGCCGCATTGAGGCAGTAGTTGCTGCAAAAGGGGCCCAAACCAAGTACTGAGCACATATGCATGCTTATACTTTTCAGAGGTCCGATATTGTTCTATGTACAATCCTTGTTTTATTGATTGCATATAATATTCTAGTTTTCTGAGATTGTGGATTTGGGGTTTTCGTGAGCTGGTAAACCATAATCATCACAATTATGACAAATCACGGCTTGAACTATCTTGCTTTGCATGTAATGAGTCCATCTCATATATTAGTTTCACCTTTTAAGTTGCATTACTGAAATAAATGAACTTTTGCACGATAGTCTAATTTTTCCGAGTTTCACCTGTGTGTATATATATATATATATATATATATATATATATATATACAGTTGTGTTCAAAATAATAGCAGTGTGTTGAAAAAAGTGAATAAAGCTCAAAATCCTTCTAATAGCTTTAATTTCCATACACACAAATGCATTGGGAACACTACACAGTCTATTCCAAATCAAAACATGAAGAAAAATATATCAAAATTTGTGTTGTTCTTCTAAACTAATTGGAAAAAAAAGTGATTAGACTGTTCAAAAAAATAGCAGTGTTTGTATTCTTCTTTACAAACTCAAACATTCACTATATAAACTGAAAAATGTTTGAAGATTTTGCTGTCCTTTGAATCACTTAATTAATATTAGTTGTATAAGCACTGTTTCTGAGAACTGCTGTAAATCTGTGTTGCATGGAGTCAACCAACTTCTGGCACCTGTGAACAGGTATTCCAGCCCAGGATGATTGGACTACATTCCACAGTTCTTCTCTATTTCTTGGTTTTGCCTCAGAAACTGCATCCCATTTTTTATGTCACCCCACATGTTTTCTATTGGATTAAGATCCGGGGATTGGGCTGGCCACTCCATAACGTCAATCTTGTTGGTCTGGAACCAAGATGTTGCACGTTTTACTGGTGTGTTTGGGGTCGTTGTCTTGTTTGGAACACCCATTTCAAGGGCATTTCCTCTTCAGCATAAGGCAGCATGACCTCTTCAAGTATTCTGATGTATTCAAACTGATTCATGATCCCTGGTATGCGATAAAATAGGTTCAACACCGTAGTATGAGAAACATCCCCATATCATGATGCTTGCGCAACCATTAGAGATGAGCGAATCGAACATGGCGAAGTGGAATTCGTTTCGAAGATCAGGAAAAATTCGATTCGCGCCGAATCCGAAAATTAGCAAACTTCGGATGCACAAATCGAATTTTCCCAAAAATGGTGGCGACGGAGCGGGGATCTCTGGGAAGGCGCGCAGACAAGGCGCGCTGACCCTTAATGCATTCATTCATGACATGTGATCGCATTAATCAATCAGCAGCCAGCCAGCCAGTACTGTGTAATGGTGGAGCTATAAATTGCGGCCATCTTACAATTCTCCATTAGCCTCCGGTCATTCAAGAGAGACAGACCTGTCTGTATTAGGGACAGAGTTAGGGCCAGAGAGACTTTAGGGCCACAGAATCGTTACTTAGGGACACAAAATCGTTACTTAGGGACACAGAATCGTTACTCAGGGACACAGAATTGTTACTCAGGGACACAGAATTGTTACTCAGGGACACAGA